GAGCATAAGTGAAAAAAAAGGCTGCATTATTTTTGTTGTTTGAGTTTATGAGATAATAACGGGGTGTTTGGCACTGTAGTGTTCCCCAAGCATTCTATTTCAAAAGTGTTTTTTATTTACATCTATTTCACAGGTTTTTATAAGGACAACCGTATGACATCTCAAAACAATTTGCTAGCTTTTACAAATTTTAATGTGCCATATCACCTTGGTGATTCAAGATGACCTAGGTGATTCAAGAATCCTCAATTTTGATGATTCAAAAAAATGCCTCCCTTCCCAAATTCCAAAGATAATCGTTCCATTAATGTTTTTTATTCGAAAAATAATATGCTAACTGTGATCTTTTAGTGTATTCATTTATTATTTTATGATGTGGCAAGTTCATGATATGAAACACTTGTAAAGCGATACAATGCAAAACAACCACTAGACGAACACATTAGAAGACTTCGGATCTTATTAGGGGGGTGGGGTTGGGTATGGGGAATGGGCCACCCCCATTTGTGTAATGCCACTAAACCTGAAAAAGAAAAAGAAACAGAAAAAAAAGTGAACATATCAACGTTATCATCATATATGATTGCAAAAATTACCCTCCTTACATCATAGCCCTAAAAAATTAAAAATCGTAGTCGTAAAAAGAAATATAAGACCCCCACATGGTTTAACGAACCTTTTTTTTTKGGGGGGGGGGTTCAATGAACCTATTTGATATTATGAATAGAAAAAAGCCACCCCATCAAGTGTATAAGTCATGTTTGGTGAAAACCTTGAAAAACCCAAAATGACTATCTAAATGTATGGGTGTTCCGGTCTAATTTGGTTCAATTTGGAGCGGATTTGATATCAAACCAATAAATTATAGTTTAATAAATTCTCATACCAAGACAAACCATTTTATTATTAAACAAAATCAAATCAAACCATTTTATCATGGTTTGGTCCGATTTCTAATATAGTTTGTGTCATTCTTTTCATTTTGACCCAATTAAAAATCCCAAATAACATGCATACCTACACAAATAACAAATATAATTCCATTATCAAATTGAAATGTTAACAAGTATCACATGTTACCTATATATATATATATATATATATATATTTCTTTGACATAAACAATTCATTGGGCATCAAATTATAAGTTAAAATTGAAACAAACAACAACAATGTATGAAATACTTAGATAATTAAGAGTTATGAAATATACTAAAAAATGAAATGAATACATATAGACACACATATATTTTATTATATATATAAATGTATATTACAATGTATTATTAATAGTTCAATTTATGGTTTGATTTGGTTTTTAAAATTCAAAAAGCTGGACCAACCATAAATTGTGGTTTAATAAATTCTTAGACCAAACCAAGCCATACCAGACTAAAGTGCCAACTTCCATTTGGTTCRGTGTGGTTTGGCGGTCTAAACCATATAATTAACACCCTATCTAAAAGCCACAACATGGTTTTTCCGCTAAAGCTTGTGGTTTCTCCAAAGCAGCAAAATTACTGCTTTAGCCCTAAAAAAATGGGCCTAAGTATTGCATTTTACAATGGTTATGGAAATTGTTTGTTTGCGATTTCTTTTATTTTCTTTATTATTTGTCTTCTTTTTAATCTATGTTTGGTTTGAAGGAAAAGGTAGGGAAAGGAAGGGAAAGACAAAGAAACCTATACAAGATTTGGAAAGGTTTTTCTACATTTTTCTATCTTTTTCCTTCAAACCAAACACAACCTTAACTTCCATTGGGGGTAGTCCATCCTCATACCCATAACACCCCCAAATATGGTGGTTGGGATGACAATTTCCACCCTACTTTGTTTTTCTTTGAAAACAAATTTATGGTGGGAATAGGTTTTGGAATTTTTACAACACATACAAGTAGGAATAAGAGTATAGTACTAGGCTAAATTGGTTCATCTCCAACTCATATATTGAATTTATTAAAATACCTCTAGTAATTATAATTGAGTTGCAACTATGCTAGGGGATATAAGTGCATTTTAAATTAATAATTTATACATTTTCTATTTGTTTCAATCAAATAATTGAAAATTTTGGCGATTGTTCATGTGCGAATTTTGCGTGGTGTTAAAAAGGCGATAAGGGTAAATTTACAAAACACTCACACATAGGGGTGTCAATGGACCAGTTTTGGATTGGAGTTCGTCCAAATCAAAATCTATTTTGACGGATTGGACGGACCAATAAGACATTGAATTTGAATGGATTGGACGGACCAATATGACATATTGGATTGGACCTGGTCCATCCATAATGAATTTATATTGGATTGAGCCAATATCTAGTCCATTGATAGAAGATAAGAACATGGATGTCAATGGACTAGGTTTGAGTTGAAACCAGTTTAAATTAACATGAATTTGAACCAAGGTTTAAAACTTTGATATGATATGCCTGATATGGGATATGGGATATGGGCATATCTTTGAAAAACAGAAATGGGATATGCATGGAAATCGGGCATCTCCTCTCTTTTTTTCATTCGTATTGGACCATATTGGGGCATATTGGAGGTGTATTGGAGCGTATTGGTAGCGTATTGACGAAAAAAGATACGGCCAAAAACTAAAAAAAAGGGGGAAAAACAAGCTTCTTTTCCTTGAAACAAGCCTTCTTTCACCCCCAAATGACTATAAAACTCCAAACCTCATTCACAAAGTGATAGATTTGCAAAAAATTGTAAGAAACAAGTGTGAATCATTATTTTTTTTTGAAAAWTTTTTTAAATTTTGAAAAAATATGGCAAAAATAGGTAAATTTATTCAAATTTTTATAATATATTGTTATTCTTTTCTTGAATCTTTAAATTATGTTAATCTACATTTCTTACATTCAAAATCATACTTTTTTTGTGTTATTAATAAATTATCGGAAATTTCATGAAGATATTTGGGGAAAATATAAATTAATAAAAAAATAAAAATGTAATTTTTCTTAGTCTATAAAGACTAAATATGCTTTAGATCTATGGATTTATCTATCATATCCATAGAGCAATTGGAATTTCTTATTTAGTTTTTTTTTTATTTTTTATATTTTTAGAATTAAAAACATAAATAATAATTAATTATATTTTATCATTTAATCACAACAATTGAATATATTATAATTCTATGGATGATCTTTCATATCCACAGACCAATTGAAATTTCATATTTAATAAATATATTTTTGTATTTTTAGAATAAATAAATAAATAAAATTTTATCATTTGATCACAATGATTAAATATATTATAATTCTATGGATGATCTATCATATCCACAAAGCAATTGAAATTTTTTCTTTAATAATTATTTTTTGAATATATTATATAATGTTTATTTATTTTTATAGTTTTTTAAATAAATAATAAATAATTATTGATTATATTTTCACTTAGAATTTGTGCCAATGCATGTTTTATGGTTGGATAGGAGAATTGAGTTTTTCCCATCCCATAAAACATTAAAACTTAAGAATTATAATTTATAAATTATTGTTAAGCATAGGATTTTTAATGAAATTATAATTACCTACAATATATTTCTTCATAAAATCATTAAAATATATTAATTTAATGTATATACACATCATTGAGGTCTTACATTTAGTGTTATTGATGTATTTTTATGATTTATTAACGTATTTATAGTATTTCCAAGCGTATCTACGTGTATCTTAATTTTTCTCTGATACGCATGAGTATGTAAGTCGTATCCCGATACATCTCTTAAAATTGCTTTTCTGATACACTTAACGTTTCAAATACTTTAAACCTTGATTTGAACAAATTGAACAATCTCTGAACCGGTTCAAAATATTCATTGAACTGGATTGGACCAAGTCCATTTGTAATGGACTCACATTGGATTGGACCGGATTTGATCAAATCCAATCCAATTGACACCCGTTCTGACACATGACACATCCTGACATCCCCCTCTCATTGTCACCAACGTTACTGAACACATACGAGCTGCAATTAGTTGGTTGGTAGTGGATATTGCCTAAAATAAAACCTAGGTTCTAATACCTTTCAACCGGTTCAGTTAACTCAGAACTCAATCCTTCACAGTAAAGAAGTATGGTGAATTCAGTACTGAATTAAGCATATAGTTGCACGAATTGCGCGAAGAATTCTCTAGTTCCATCGTTACTGTTTTCCAGCATTTCAGAACATGTAAAGAGGCTAGTGCCTAGGGGCTTTTTGATACGATTGACATGAACAGGATCTGCTCCTCACAGGCATATTCATCATGTTATTCACGGAAGGTGTTCCCAATGGTATGGTAGGATGGTAGGATGTACGTGTGAGGTGCCCTGTGTGAGGAGCAGATTCAGTCTCCTATTGACAAACAGTTTGCCAGTGTCGCATAGGCGTCAATTTAGCGATTTTGTATAAATAGTGCTCTCTTCTGTTTGCTACACCATTGTTCTGAAAGCGATAAAAATACATACCTTTGAACCAAGATTTTAAAAATTGATATAGAATTGGAACTGTTTTAACCACCAATTTATCATATGGTTTGAATGAATGACTTATTCCAACTTAAAAAATAAAAAAATAAAAACAACCAAAAATTGTTGTTTGAATTGAATGGATCGATACTAAGTCAATAGATCATTAATCAAGTCAACCGTTTTTGGCCAATAAACGGATTAAAGATGAAATAAAATCGATTACTGATTCTCAGACAGAATGATCCGACTGTCTAAGTTAAGGATAATTTGAAAACACTGCTTTAAACATGAAAAAGATTTACATCGGAGGTTTTCTCAAAAAAAAAAAGAAAACGTTTATTAGAAAACGACAATAATACCAAACACCACGTCTCGGAGATGGCTGACTGAAGAGCGCTTTACGAGGAAGAAATCCGAATTCTTGACACGTAACGCCTTCGGCTTTGGCGCGGGGGCCCGAAAGGCCCACAGCCTTGTATCCATTCCTTACAAAGGTCCTAAAGCCTCAGACCAGAGAGTCTAAAGACGTCTTCAATCATTTACTACGCATTTTTTTCACAGTGTATATATAGAGAAGATCGAATCATTGGACAGAGCCTTACAGTAAAGTGACGAGATAAATAGTGCATACAGTGACGTCGTTCCCCATTCTTGTATCCGTCGGTCGAACACGGTTCAACTGCGCCGAAGCTTCTCGAATTTCCCACTTTGTGCTTCCAATTTTCCAGTCAGAGTTTGCCCTGCACTTTCTTTCTTCTGTTTGAAATAAATTTAGGTCACTGACCATTCTTTCTGCCTCAAGATTCAAGTTCTATAATTTTCTTTTTTCCTGAAACATTTCATTCCTGATTATGTTGCAGCAGAAGTGGGATTAGTCGAGAAATGGTCGAATTTGATACCAGTTCGAAGATTTTTTTAGCAAATTCGAGCTTTCTGTGCTGAGAATTACATGCTAGGGTTTGACCTTGCTGTGCAAAAGTTTAGGAGAAAAAGAAGAAGAAGAAGAGTACAAGAAGAAGGTCGGTTAAGTCGATGAAATCATGACTAAATTCGACGGTGATCTTGTTGAGAATAAGCGGCGATCGTCCACTACCCACCCATTGCAGGATTCGTCTTCTAAGTCCATTAATGAAACGGTGAATGGATCCCATCATTACACAATTAAGGGTTATTCTCTAGCGAAGGGGATGGGTGCCGGAAAATACATATCGAGTGATGTTTTCTCGGTCGGAGGGTATCAATGGGCTATTTACTTCTATCCCGACGGCAAGAATCCAGAGGATAATTCGACGTATGTGTCAGTGTTTATTGCATTGGCGAGCGAGGGAACGGACGTCAGGGCGTTGTTTGAGTTGACATTGTTGGACCAGAGTGGGAAGGGCAAACACAAGGTTCATAGTCACTTTGATCGTGCATTAGAGAGTGGTCCTTATACTTTGAAATACAGAGGGAGCATGTGGTACGCCTCTTATTATATCCCTTCCCCCTTTCATGCAATATCGTCTATCTTTCTTCAATGAATTAAGGTTTAGGGTTCGGAGCCTTGTACATGCTCTGGTTCTTCTTTTAGTGGTATTCCTAAGGGAACTTACTGCTCTTAATAATTTTTAAGTGTTCTAAATAACAAGAACGCTCAGGGCTGTGTAAACCTTGGCTCTGTTTTCATTCTTAGGAAACATTATTTTCTAGATTCTATATAAAGTGCTGTTCTAAAGTAACTTAGCCATAGAAGACTAACGAAGCTGGAGCCTGAATCATGACACGCAGATAAAGAAACTAACCATTAAAAGAATTAAGAAGAATCCAGTGAAACCTCACCATAGGGGCATAAAAGAACAAGAAAATCACAAAAAAATAATCCGAGCTGTTCTACATCAAAGTTGCTTATTTCAAAATTTGTTTATTATGCTAATTTTATTGATTGCTATTAGTTAGTACACATGAAGGACACACAACTCTGGTAGATATTTATGTTAGAATTGCTTATCTGCATATGCTTCAGGGGTTACAAGCGTTTCTTTAGAAGAACAACTTTAGAAACATCAGATTTCCTCAAGGATGACTGCCTTATTATGCATTGCACTGTGGGAGTGGTTAGAACTCGCATGGAGGGGCATAAACAATATAATATTCCCATACCACCGTCAGACATGGGTCAGAGTCTCAAAGAGCTTCTGGAAACAGGTCTTGGTTCTGATATTGTTTTTGAGGTTGGTGATGACATATTTAAGGCTCATAAATTGATACTTGCTGCACGCTCTCCGGTATTTCGAGCTCAATTCTTTGGACTGATTGGAAACCCAAACACAGATAGAGTAGTAGTTGAGGATGTTGAACCTTCCATATTCAAGGTACCTATTCTGTATCTATTGGTTTCACTGACAAATTTCCCTGCTTTTAGATATGCTTTCTATTCACTGAGATTGCATTGGTTCCCATCTAACCAGAAACCCGCTTGTTGAAATGCTTATGGTTAGTTATAGTCTTCACTTAAGGAAAACTGAATTAAAATCCACTATACTGTGATTTATGCTTTCATACCAATACCGTTTCATCATATTTCACTCTGTGAAGTCTTTGATTTGATAGCTAATGAGTTTTCTTATTCATTTAATATGGATTATAGTTAATTGATTCAAGTAAATTTTCTTATTTTTATCTCACTATGATGACACTTTCCTAATGTTAAAACTACTTAATAATGTCAATCACATCATATGGCTTTAGAAAGCTTGCTTTAAGTGGCTATCAGGTAAACCATGTTTACATTATTTAAATGTGGTTTAAGAGAGTTATGGTGAAAGTACGGTAAGATTCATGTGTGCATTAAACTATCATTGGTTCTTCAATTGTGCTTAGATTTGAAGTAGTTTAGCTTGATTCTCAATTTTTCATTTTGTGTTTATCATGTTTTATGAATGTTTTTTTTTTATTTTTTTTATTTCTATCGTTTAAAACCCATGCAAAAACTGATCCAAACAAAACCTGGACAACTTAAGTTATATCTACATTTTCAGAAAAGAAGTTGGTACACAAACAGTTCTTCCTTGTCTACTCCTTCAATTGTCCATGCATGCCATGCTTCCTCCTGCTTTTCCTTTCTTCAACTTAATCAGCTCAATTGGTTCAATAAGTGGCACACCTCTTGTCACCTTATATTTTAGTTTATCTCTATAGTTGTCAAGGCGTGTAGGTGATTTTGGGTGACAGCGGGGCACCTAGGCAATAAGAATTTCATAAATCATAAAATAAAAAAAACTAAAATTTGCCTAGTTCCCTAGTTTAATATACCATTGAACATGCATATTAATTGGTTAAATAGCAATTCTTTTTATTAAGAACATTATATTTCCTCTTAAAAGACAGCAAATCATCATATCTAGGACAATAGTATTTTAAATATATTGATTTCAATATTTCAAAAATAATATTAATATAATAAGCTTTTAATAGAGCAGTTTCATATCCAACTAACAACTAAAGAAGGCAATAATTTTAATATTTTATATGATAAAATTTAAGATATAAAGGAAAGGGTTCAACTAGGTGGGCGCCTTCCTTGTCATTTTTGTCACCTAGGTGGGTGCCTAGTTGCCATAAGTCAAGGTGCCTAGTTTCCTAGGCAATGCCTTAACAACTATGTCTATCTCCACTACAATATGTGTATATGTTGGTGTATGCAAATTTATCTAGCAGTTAGTACATTTAAAATGTGGTTGCACCTTTATTTTGTGTTCAATTACCTTATTATTGGTATCATTGCAAAGATTGTTCAATACCATCCAATGATCTCAAGATTATGCAATTTGAATGACATTTGTGAATAAAATTAATCGAAATTTTACTGATTGGGGCATTGTGCTGTAGCCAGTGGTTACACAGGTCAGTCTGTCATTACTACCTTTCGTGTAGCAAGCCTATTGATTCTCTTCCTGCCCATGCCAAATACTCCTGTCTGATTCCATGGGGTAGGGCCAGGAGCTGGTTTGGGGAATCACGGGTTCGGAGGGGACTCGATTCTGAAATGGAATGATTGATAGAATTGATATTTCATAGAAGATCTTTTTTGGTCAGTAATAGAAGGTTTATATTAATGCACTTACCCCTTCTCATTGGGCATCCCAATGGCAAGGAAGAAAAATATAATATATTGCCAATAAAACACTCCAAGTCTTCAAAGAAGACAAATAAAAGCTAGACAATGGCTAATTACTTTTGGGCCTGGAGACCTTCTAACACAGCTGTGTGTTCTCCCGACACCTTCCCTGGCTAATTGATCAGCCAGAGCATTCTCTGATCTAGATGTTCACTTAAAGAAATCCTTCAAAGTGGCAGTCAATGCCTTATCTTCTCTAAAACTAAATCCGATCCAGGCCCCCCTTTTATCAGATAGCATCCACTCAATCACAACATGGCAGCCCCCCTTGAATAGATGGAAAACAAAGGCAATATGAGTCTGCCCAAGAGAATTACCATTTGCAGCAAGACCATGAGAATCTTAATATCATCGTTGTTGTTTCTGAATGGACATCCCACCCTGTTATGGTCTGGAGTTACCTAAAACACAACATTAGCTTGATCAATCAATGGTTTGGTGCAACCCTATTAAGCCAAGGGTGTCTTGTATGAAGATATATCCAACAACCATCTGCCAGCTTCTAAGAATAGCATCCATGGTAATTCCTTTAAACCCTTCCAATATGAAATCCAGTCTGCCAACCTCAAGGTGAAGGTCTGTTAAGAAATTTCTTTAATATGAAAATCCATTCTACCTTAAGGTTTGTCCTCCTTGTTTCTTCATCACGGAGCTTCCTCTCCTAAATCCTATCCAGATCCTCAATTTGGTTAAGCATTTTCCTTTCCCTGAACAAACTAAAAAATGAGTTTATTTCATTTCTTAAAAGAAACTTTTATCACATGCAACTTCTTCATGAATTTAGCGTCCTCCCATCGATCTGTCCTGATCTCTCCCTACCAAAGTACCAAGTGCCACTGTTACTTTCGAAAGAAGATTCTAGATCCACATGTTCTCAAGTGAAAGGAGTAGGACCACTCCTAATGTCAGCCACCCAGTTGAGTGTTAGTGGAAGTACAAATTATGGGCAACATGTTTGTCTATTATGAAAATTAATATTTTTTTTCTCATAATTGTTATCTGTCATAGAAGAAGAGAAAATAATGGAGAGAAGAGAGGAATAGAAAATGAGGCAAGGTTGTTGGTCTTGTCATATCTTTTCACAAATAAATCTGCTAACTGCTTTTTAGAGCTTATGAAAGGAAGGAGAATTTCTACTTGTTCTATCTTTTCACAAATGAAGTGCTTGTCTACCTCTATTTTTCGTCTTGTCATATTGGACAAGGTTGTTGGCAGTGTTAATGGCTGCCTTGTTGCAGTAAAGAGACTCTAGAACCAGTCAACCAGATATTGAAAACCCCAACAAAGTAACAATGTGTTTAGCCATAGCAGTTCAGCCATCCCATGTGCCATGTCACAATACTCTGCGTTTATGCTAGATCTTGCCACACTATTTTGCTTCTTGCTTCTCCATGTCACCAAATTTCCACAAAAAAATATACAATAACTTRTAGTAGACGTAGACCTATCATCCTTCGAGCCAACCCAATCAGCATCAGTATAAGCCTCTACTTGCATGCGTCCATGATTAGTGAAGAGAAGCTCCCTTTCTAGATGAGAACCCTTTCTGCAGCCTCAAGGTGAGAAGTTCAAGGGGAATGCATAAACTGACTGAGAGCTCCAATGGCATAGGCAAYTTTTAGATCAGTCATAGACAAGTACAATATCATCCCTACCAGCCTTTGAAAACTGTCTAGGTTTTCTCTTTTTTTTTTGTTTTTTTATTAACTGGTAAAATTTCTTTAAATAAATCACCTAACTACTCACCAAAGTGAGCAGCAGGTGTGTGGAGATATTGCAACTCCAGTAAAGGAGCACGCAAATAGCAAGGTAAAACTGTAAAAAAACAAAAACAAAGTCAAACAACTATTATAGATTACAAGTCGGCCCTGGACAACTCCAAATCACCTGGTTGAGCTCCATTGGAGAATCTGCAGGTCTAAAAAGTGAGTTGGGTGGCACCCGTGCTAATGTTACATGAAGAGTGTTTAAGCATAATAGGAAAAAGAAAAAAAATGCCCTTGCACCTAATACATAAGAGTAAACAACACTACAATGGTAATATTCAATAAACAATTTCTGATTTGTTTACCTCTAAGTGCTTTATCAAAAAGGTGCTTTAGAAATTATTTTGTAGAAAGATATAGTTAGAAAATTTCTTGCCTTCAGCTTGAGAAAATAAGGGCCAGAGCAGTGTTTTAAAAGGTTTGCCTAGGTATACAAGCAGGGTGAACCTAGGAGATGCTACTTTTAAGAGGCAAACACATGGCTTGCTTGCCCTGTGCCTTGGCCCAAGTGCATGCCTTTTACAAGTTTGTTTTTTTAGTTTTTTTTTGTATGTTATGTCTTTTACATCTTTGTGATGGTGTATTAATTTCTAAATAACCTTTGTTGTTGCTTGTGCACTAGTAATGGTCTATTAACATTTAAAAGAAACAATAACAAAGACCTTATGAAGAAGTCTTAGTTGTTTCAGATAGAATCTTAGACAGCAAAATTTCCACTAAAGAAGCAACGACAATCTAATTGATCTCTGATCCCTAATCTTCAAATAAAATGAACTTTGGCCCAAATCACAAGCCTTTACATATACAGGCCAAATACTTGTGTCTGCCTTTGTAAAGGTTCCAACTTCCTAGGATTAGGAATGCAAGATATCCAACATCACACTAGCTACTTGAAGTGATGTTACATGGAACAAACAAACACATTGAGAGTTTTACAATCTTGAATCATTGAATACTTGAGCCCAGTCCTCTCCAAAAAAACAAATTCAGACTACAAATGAGCCCAGTCCAATTATTCCCTGTTTGCTCCTTGCTTTGCTAGACAGTCAGGCAAAGCATTAGCTGATCTCCCCACCCATTTATCAGCCTCTTAAATTTTTTAATTTCATTCTTGAAGCTCCACACAATAGACTCAGGGTTTTGTAGCCAGCCCAGTACCACCTTGGAGTACCCTTCTATTAGTAGTTGTTGCACACCTAGCTGAACTGCAAGCTGTACTCCCTGGATGGCAGCTAGCAGCCTAGCAATTCTTCCCTTGTAGAGTTCCCAATCCCTAGGGGACCTGAGTAGAGAAGGATCACATCACCAAATTTATTCCTCAGTACCCCTCCCATTCCAGAGGGGCTTGGATTACCTTGACTGTTACCATTTTTTGTGATAAATGAGAATAGATTTTATTAATTCTGAAGGTATATGCATTACAGGCATC